TTGCGGAATAGACACAGAGGGAGAGGGATGGATGTTGCAAACAGTATGTAGAAGAAAATTGAAAAGTAACAAGGTCTATAACTGCTGTGAATGGTAAGTTAGTCTCACACACAAGGACACATTCTGTAAGAACGTATTTACTTAAAAGCTACATCATGCATTGGGATGAGTAAAGGTGGGAAATGAGGGGTGAGAGGAAAGAAACAGAACAGTAAGCAAAGTGAGAAAACTGGTCGGAGCCAGTTTGCAGATCTAATGGAAACTTGACCTCAGCTGCAAGGTCAGAGGAGCTTGGCCGGGCCTGGAAATCTGTGGCAGCTCCTTTGCTGACCATCCCTTCTCCTGTTCCAGGTCTTGTTTGCCACAGAGACCTTTGCCATGGGCGTAAACATGCCAGCACGCACGGTGGTGTTCGATTCCATGCGCAAGCATGATGGCTCCACCTTCCGGGACCTGCTCCCAGGGGAGTATGTGCAGATGGCAGGCAGGGCGGGCCGGAGGGGCCTGGACCCCACGGGCACCGTCATCCTGCTCTGCAAGGGCCGTGTGCCCGAGATGGCTGACCTACACCGCATGATGATGGTGAGACACCCCCCTCTCCCCCCCCCACCCCAGTAGTCAGCCCAGCTCAGGGGACCTGCTTCCTGCTTCCTCCCCTCCTTCCCCTCCCCCTTTGCTCTGGCTTGGGAGAAGTCGAGCAGGCCCGAGCGGATTCATGGCAGAGACTAGATTGCATCTCTGGCCTTCCCCCATTGTGAATTCACAGCTGGGTGGGATTTTCCAGTGTTGGTTAAGGTTTGCTCCTTAACTGGGGAGAGGCTTAGACCCGGAGGGGCAAGTGGGGTCCCCTCTGGGCCCACTGATTTCTCTGACCCGGCCTAGGGGAAGCCATCCCAGCTGCAGTCCCAGTTCCGCCTCACCTACACCATGATCCTCAACCTGCTGCGGGTAGATGCCCTGAGGGTGGAGGACATGATGAAGAGGAGCTTCTCCGAGTTTCCATCCCGCAAGGACAGCAAGGTGGGGCGGTCGTCAGGACAGGCAGCCCAGCCAAGAAGTGGGGAACATCCCAGAGGCCAGCCGGGCGGTGGCGGGGGCTGGGGTAGACTGTGCCTGCTCCTGCTTCAGTCCTCAAGAGGACACCCCACTTTTGCTCAGGCCCATGAACAGGCCCTTGCCGAACTGACCAAGAGGTTGGGGGCCCTGGAGGAACCTGATGTGACCGGCCAGCTGGCCGACCTGCCCGAGTATTACAGCTGGGGAGAGGAGCTGACCGACACTCGGCACTTGATCCAGGTGCGTGTGTGCAGCAGGGCAGGAGGCAGCAGTGCTGTGTGCTGGGTGCTCCTGGACTTGGTGCCACATCCCGCTTCTAAGTGGACAGTGACACTGTCCACTTCTCCCCTCAGCGGCACATCATCGAGTCTGTGAATGGGCTGAAATCGCTTTCAGCAGGAAGGGTGGTAGTTGTGAAGAATCAGGAGCATCACAATGCCTTGGGTGTGATCCTGCAGGTAAGGGCCAGGGGAACTTGGACCCCAAAGGGTGGGAGAGGGGGATGTGGGGGCTGGGGGCAGGCTGCAGTCGGTGGTACTAGTTTCCCTCCTGCCCTCCTTTTTTTCTGGGTTGTTTTTTGTTTGGGGGCCACACCTAGCAATGCTCAAGAATTACTCCTGGTGATGCTCAGCGGGGGGCACCATATGGGGTGCTGGGAATTGAACCCGGATTGGCTGCGTGCAAGGCAAATGTCCAAGCCTCCGTATTGTCACTCCAGCCTGCTCTCGCCCTCCTCTCTTCCCCATCTCTGCCCCTTCATGCCCACCTTCTTGCCCCTCCAGTCTGATTCTTGACTTGGTTCCCAATCCAGCCTGTTCCACAGTATCTGCCTTAGGGTGGGGATCTGGTCTCTAGTCTTTTGTGTGGTTTAGCTGTACTCGGTGTCTCTATGCTTGGGGGTCACTCCTGGTGGTGCTCAGGGGACCAGATAGTGTCAGGACAGAAACCCGGGCCGCCTGTATGCAAAGCATATACTCAGCTCTTTGAGTTGCCTCGAAGCCCCTGACCGATGCTTTTTTTTTTTTTTTTTTTGCTTTTCTGCGTCATACCTGGAGATGCACATGGGTTATTTCTGGCTCATGCACTGAGGCATTACTCCTTGTGGTGCTGAGAATGGAACACGGGTCAGCTGCATGCAAGGCAAACACCTGCTCTGCTATTGCTTCAGCCCTTGCCATCTGTTTTTTTTTTTTTTTTTTTTTTTTGCTTTTTGGGTCGCACCCAGCGATGCACAGGGTTTACTCCTGGCTCTGCACTCAGGAATCACTCCTGGAAGTCTGGGGGACCATATGGGATGCTGGGAATCAAACCCTGGTTGGCTGCATGCAAGGCGAATGCCCTACCTGCTGTGCTCCAGCAACCACTGTCATCTTTTTTTTTTGCAAAGGCTTTATTGGTAGCTCAAACTAGGATCCGAGTTTCATCCAACGCAGTGTAGTCTTGACAAGGACCCTGAGCCCTTATTACAGCAGGTTTTTATATCCGTAATCTCATAAACATAGTTGGCAGGCGCCAGCTTTGATCACATAGGCATAGTTAGCAGGCACCAAGGTTACGCTTTGAGGGTTTTTCCAGTAACAGGCTACAGGACAGGACAACAGGATGTGTTGCTTAGTGATTAGTGTAAGTGGGCAGGGACTGCTCCGGGGTGTCTTTCCAGTAACTGCAACCATAAACTTTTGGGGAAACAGGAACACTGGTCTTCAGGAAACAAAAACTTGGGCCTACTGCTTGCTTTCCTGAAGTGCAGCCTGTCATGACTTCTTTTTTTTTTCTTAAATTTTTATTAGTGAAACACCATGAGGTACAGTTGTAGACTTACAAATTTTTGTGCTTGGGTTTCAGTTATACAATGATCAAATACCCATCCCTCCACCAGTGCCCATTCTCCACCACCACGAATCCCAGTATCCCTCCCATCCCACATCCCCCCCATCCCACCCTGCCTCTGTAGCAAGGCATTCCCTTTTGTTATCTAATTTTGAGTGCTGTGGTTTGCAAAAGAGACATTGCCACTGTCATCTTTTAAAGAAGACAAAGTCCCTGGTCTCTGCTTTTGAGGGCTGCTCTTCACACCACCCTGGCCTCGCCTCCACACTCCCCCTAGGTCTCTTCGAACTCGAGCAGCCGCATCTTCACAACCCTGGTCTTGTGTGAGAAGCCCACGGCTGGGGATCCCCAGGAAACGGGGCTGGCCACCCCAGATGTGCCCTATCCAGAGGACCTTGTGGGATTCAAGCTCTTCCTGCCTGAAGGTGAGCATGGGCAGACACCCTCTCCCCTCAGCAGTAGCTGAGACATCTGGGCCCACAGAGGCCTAACCCCAGCACACCCCTGACCCTAGGGCCGTGTGACCACACTGTGGCCAAGCTCCAGTCAGCAGATGTGGCGGCCATCACCACCAAGGTGCTCCGGGTGAATGGGGACAAGATCCTAGAGGATTTCAGCAAGAGGCAGCAACCAAAATTCAAGTCAGATCCTAGGGAGGGCCTTGCGGGGCGGTGGGGCGGGGGACGGAAAGCCCCTCAGCTTCAGGGGTCTCCTTCTGAAGAGAAGCCTCTGCCCTAGGTCCTAAGCCGTGCCCCTTCCTCAGGAAGGATCCTCCCTTAGCAGCCGTGACCACGGCCGTGCAGGAGCTGCTGCGCCTGGCCCAGGCCTACCCTGCCGGACCCCCTACCCTCGACCCGGTCAATGACCTGCAGCTCAAGGATGTGTCAGTGGTTGAGGGGGGACTCCGGGCCCGGAAGCTGGAAGAGCTGATCCGGGGGGCTCAGTGTGTGCACAGTCCCCGCTTCCCAGCCCAGGTAGGCACCCAGAGGCCAGCCCTGAGCTGACTGAGCGAGTCCCTGCTGCTGTCCCGTGGGGGAGGCTGAGGGGCACCTGCCATGGCTCTCTGCAGTACCTGAAGCTGCGGGAGCGGATGCAGATTCAGAAGGAGATGGAGCGGCTGCGCTTCCTGCTGTCGGATCAGTCACTGATGCTGCTCCCCGAGTACCACCAGCGAGTAGAGGTGAGGGTGGGTCGGTGCGGGGGGAGGCTGGGGAAGGGAGGACAGGCACCCACCTCCGCCATCTTCCCTTCAGGTGCTCCAGACCCTGGGCTATGTCGACGAGGCAGGCACCGTGAAGCTGGCAGGGCGGGTGGCCTGTGCCATGAGTAGCCACGAGCTGCTCCTCACGGAGCTCATGTTCGACAACGCGCTGAGTGCCCTTCGGCCGGAGGAGATCGCGGCCCTGCTCTCCGGGCTAGTCTGCCAGAGCCCCGGGGACCCTGGGGACCAGCTCCCAAGTACCCTCAAACAGGTGAGGTCACCCCCCCATCCCTCCCCCAGCTGCTCATGCCCAGCCCCATCCATATCTCCCCAGTGACACCCCCATGGGCCCTAATGCCCCTGAAGATTGGCTTCTTCCTCGATCTGCCCCCCCATTGGGGCGCAGGAAGACAGTCGCAGCTGCCTTCTCACCTGCAGGGGGTGGAACGTGTCCGGGCCGTGGCCAAGCGGATCGGGGAGGTCCAGGTGGCCTGTGGCCTGAACCAGACGGTGGAGGAGTTTGTGGGCGAGCTGAATTTTGGGCTCGTAGAGGTTGTGTACGAGTGGGCCCGAGGCATGGTGAGTAACTCCCTGTGATTGGGGATTTGGGGAGACGCCGCCCAGACCGACTACATTCAGTTCCTGCCCTGCTTCTCCACAGCCCTTCTCCGAACTGGCCGGTCTCTCAGGGACCCCGGAGGGCCTGGTGGTCCGCTGTATCCAGCGCCTGGCGGAGATGTGTCGTTCCCTACGGGGGGCAGCCCGCCTGGTAGGGGAGCCTGTGCTTGGGGCCAAGATGGAGACGGCAGCCACCCTGCTACGGAGGGACATTGTCTTTGCTGCCAGCCTCTACACTCAGTGACCGATCTGTGTGAAAGTAGAATAAAACAGCAAACCACGTGTGCCTGTGTGAGGTGGGACAGCGATGCATCAGCTCCGCAGACATCAAGGAGAACCAGCTAGAAATATACTTTTATCAGTGCCCAGAAACAGGAACATTAGTCCTCCGGGGAGGGTGTCTTGGTGGGTGATGGGAGGTCCTGGGTCATGGCCTCCACATACCACGTGGGCAGGAAGGCATAAGGTGCATCTCGATGTTCAGACACTGTGACTGGGCCGCCGGGCTCCCAGGAGAAGAGATGGACAAGCCTGGGGCAGGGGGGCAGATGGAATGAGTTGAGGGCTGGAGGCTGAACTTTAGGGAGCAGATTGGAGGGGTCAGATAGAGCTGAAGGCCTCACCTGGGGTCATCCTCGACCACTGTGTTCTGGGCAAAGGTAAGGAAGGCGGCACAGAAGTTCATGCACACGGAGGGGTTCCAGCCTTCGCGGTCATTCTGGAGAGGGCAGGGGACGAAGGGGAAGATGGCACCGAGGACAAGGCTGGGAGAAGGGCAGCTGGACCACAGTTCTGCTCACAGGACCTGAGTCCTTGATGTGGGGCTGAACAGGACAGGTATTGATGCCAGTGGGAACTGGCAGGGCTGTCTTACCCTGACGTATTCAAACATCTGCATGGTAGGAAAGGTCTTGAGGGAACAGATGAGACCCTCTGGGTTTCGGAAGCCAGCAACAACATTTGGGACTCCAGGGAGGAAGGACTGAGCCCACCATTTCAGGAGCTTGTGTCTGTCAGGAGAAACATGGTGTCAGTGGGACCTGCCCCCCCCTTCCCTCCCTCTACCCCCTCCCCGCCCGCATTCCCCCGTCTCCAGCCTTCACCCTCCCATCTTATCCTCTTCCCCCCAGTCTCCTCCCCAGCTGTCAGTTCTAAGCTCTTGCCATGCCCATTCCTGTTCTGAACCTGTAGAAGCTCCTCCACTGGCCAAGGCTGTGCATCTCCTTGGAGGTCTTGAGCTCCACGTAGCAGGTAGGGGGCTGCAGGGACGGGGCCTGGGGGTCTGTGCAGTCCACCTCCCCTGAGAAGAGCAGAGGGTGGTTTCCGAGGCGGCTGCGGAGCACGGAGCAGAAGGCCACGTTGGTGTTCACCTCCCCTGAGGGGTCTGGACAGCTGCCGGGTTTGTCTGCACAAAGAGAGAGGCCCCAGCAGGGGTTGGGGCTCCAGCTCTCTGGGGTGTGGGGGATGAGGAGCTAGGATGGGGTGATGGCATGGGACAGCTCTTACCTGCACACATGTACTGCTCAAACTTATACCCCATGTACATAAGCTCGCGGAGGTGGGCGGGCCGGGAAAGCCTCTGCACCCTAGCGGTTGGGGTCTCCACCTCACTCAGGTACAGAGTCCCCTGGAACCGGGAGGCGGCCAGCTGCCAGCCCTCCTGTCGCTCATAGGGGGTTGTCAACAGCTTTGTCAGGTGCCCTCGCCAGGTCACGATGGCCCCTGACAGCCAGCCTGGACCCCTAAGAGGGAAAAGTTGGAGGCTGAAACCTGTTACACGCATCAATTCAGGTGACTCCCTCAAAACACCCCCCAGGTTCCTTGAGGACTGAACTCCGTGCCGGTGTTCTGCTCACCCCTCCAACTGGTTGCGGTGCTCCAGAAGCCAGTGTAGCAGGTGGTCCAGCCGCTCTTTGATCTCCTCATCCCGAGGCTGGTATCGATCGGGGTATCCATCTCTGAGGTCAAAGTTGGGACCTTGGCTGTTGGTCGGGGGTGGGCAGTAGTAGCGCAGAGCTCGGGCATCTCCGTGATACTGGCGCTGTGCATCCAGGGAGAAGCAGCCTAGCTCAGAGGGACGCCGGTAGAAAGGGAAAGGCCCAGAATAGAGGGTAGGGTCTGTGGGTAGGGAGGGTGCTGGGCGGACGTGTTTGCTTGGAGGCTCTGCAACATTTATGTCTATGGTATCAGCTCCTCTCTTGGTCCCTCTGGACTCCATGAGGTCCTGAGGGAAGGAGAGGGAAGGGGTGGGGGGTGAGGACGTTGCTCTTTCACAGAGGTATCCTGGGGCAGGGCGGTGGGGGCGCTTGTCCGGCCCAAGCAAGTTTGCTGATGACCAGACTCCACCTTTGAAACAAGCCGACCCAGCCCATCAAATCAGAACCACAAGCAGGGGCCACCTTCCACCTTTCCTCTAGACCTGGAAACCTCCGATCCTCCAAACGCGACGAGGTTAGGAAGGAAGATTGGGCCCAGATCAAGGATTGGATTATACCTTCAAGCCCGCCAACCACGACTTCCACCTTCGCGGCGCTATGATGTCGCGGCAGGCGGGGCAGAGGGGCTGGAGGGATGCAAAAGAGATTTTCTGCTGGTGACGCAATCATCCGGCGACGGCGGGGGGGAGCCCGACACCAGGAACTGACGGCAAAGCGGTCGCCGGGGCTGCTCGGCACCCAGGCCTCCCGGGGACGCCAATCAGCTGTAGACGCGTGAGCCAGCCGGGAGGCAGGGGTGCGGGCGCCACGGTGGCGCCTCCCCCTTCCAGCCGACCTCTGGAGCGGCGGGGTGGAGCCGTGACGTCACTGCGGTGCGCCGGAAGACTCGCTCGCTCCGACTCGTCTGTTCGCCGGCCCCGAGATTCCCGGGACATGAGCCGAAAGAGGCAGAGTCTGGTCCCTGAGGCCTTTGGACTGAAGAGGCGGCGGGGACCGGGGCACGTCGAAGCAGATCCTTTGAGGGGCGAGTCAGGTAAGCACCACGGCCGCGGGCGAGCTCGAGCCCCTCGCCAGCCGCCGCCCCCCGCCCTGTTCCCGCCGGTAACCGGCTGTCTCGGCGCAGGGTCGGCGCGGGCGGCAGTGGCGGAGCTGATGCGGCTGTTTCCCCGAGGCCTGTTCGAGGATGCGCTGCCGCCCATCGTGCTGCGGAGCCAGGTGTACAGCCTCCTTCCCGACCGGACCGTCGCCGACCGGCAGCTGGTGAGGGGCGTGCGAGCGAGCCAGCGACGGAAGCCAGTGCCCCGCCCGGCGGGCACTCCCGAGGGCCGTCCCCCCACAGTCTCACTTAGCCCTCGCTGGACCGGGCACTGCGGTGCCAAGGAGTATGCTAAGGACCCTGTAAGAGACCTCCGGCCTGGGGCTGGAGCGATAGCACAGCGGATAGGGCGTTTGCCTTGCACGCGGCAGACCCAGGTTCGAATCCCAGCATCCCATACGGTCCCCTGAGCACCGCCAGGAGTAATTCCTGAGTGCAGAGCCAGGAGTTAACCCCTGAGATCGCCGGGTGTGACCCAAGAAGGAAGAAAAAAAAAGAGAAACAACAAAATAACCAAAGAAACAAAAGAAGGAAAGCATCTCGGTTCCTGGAAGTGAAAGAGTGAAGTCGTGGGAGACACTGGCATTGTCTGACCCTAGAATTCTGGCAAGACGGATAGGCAGGCAGGCAGGCAGGCAGAGGGCAGGACAGCTTTTGACAGGCTTTGGGCAACAATGTTGCTTCTGCCTGTGCTGAAGACGATGGGCTCTAGAAAATGGTACATAGGCCAGGGTGCGCGTGGTGGACAGGGACATCAGTCTCGAGGTCGGGCGGCTGAATTCGGGCAGTAGTGTAAGGGGGGGGGCAGGGCTAGTGTGTGGAGTGAAGAAACCAGGACCGCCGGTTTTCCCTGGTGACAGTCAAGTGGAGGGCGCAGAGCAGAGGCACACTGAGCTACCCAGCCAGATGTTCACTTGTGTTTGATTGTGTATACTTAGAGCTGGAGATGCTTGTGGCACGTCCAGAGGCAATTAACTGTAGTGGAATGTTGGGTCTGAGGATTTAGAAAGTGGGGCAGTGTTACAGAGTCAGAAGTCATGGAGTCAGGAGCAGTGGATGATCCAGTCAGTGAATGGATGAGGTCAGCAGGAAGAGCGAGTAGAGGAGTAATTTTCAAGGTTTTCACACATTAAAAAGAAATTGGAAAAAAAATGAATGGAAAAAAAATAAATGATGTAATTAAATGCATATTGTCACATGCGTTGAATGTGCAAGTGTGTGTGTTTGGGGTGGAAGGCCTTCCACAGTGATGTTAAAAACTGGGATTCTAGTGAACGATAGGGTCAAATCCACAGTGCTGGAAGACCTCAGCATTTAAGGCTATTGTTTCTCAAAGCGTATCTCGAATTCTACCTGTGTCAGAAGTCCTTGGGCTGTTTATTGGTCCTGGGACTCACTCAGTGCTAATAACTTAAGGTCTTTGTGGTAGAACCTGGGAATCTATATTCTTTAACTACTACCCTCAAGTGACTTTTCATATGCTTTAAAATGTGAGACCCAGGGGCCAGGGAGAGTACTGAAGTGCATACTTTGCAAACAGGAGGTCCAGATTTGGTCACCACACTACATGGTCCCCCAGTACCACTGGAAGTGACCCTCAAGAATAAATGTGATGTGATGTTGAGAATAAATGAGGGAATAAAAAGAAGATGGAGACTAATTCCAATGTCATGAAGAATGGAGTCAGATGTGACTTTGTTTTTAAAAAACAAAACAAAACAAAACAAAACAGGAGATGGACCAGAGAGCAGACAGGGCATGCCCAAGGCTGATCTGCTTTCTACTCACTGCATCCCATATGGTTGGGCCTCTGAGAGCTGCCAGGAGTGATCTCTGAGTGCAGAGCCAGGAGTAAGCCCTGAGCACTGCTAGGTTCTTAGCCCCAGACCCCACCCCCCACCCCCCACCCCCCCAAAAAAAAACCCAAGTGCGGAGCCACACTTCCACACTTGGCAGTGCTGAGGGGAGGGGGCTGTATTGAATTTAGAGCCACCCACTGCTGGGTTTGTTCTCTATGACTTGAGGTTTAGACACTTCTGGTTCTTTAGCTTTTCTGTTTTGGGCCATATGTGGTGCTGGGATTGAATTCAGGTTGGCCACATGCAAGGCAAGTGCCTTTCCCACTGTGTTATTGCTCCAGCCCCTCTTTTGGTTCCTTGGAATCAAGTCAGATGGAATCACTCGTTCTAAAGTATTTCTTGTTTTTAATATTGTGATATTAGCCCAAATTAAAAAAGAAAAACCCTCTTTTTTTTTTTTGCTTTTGGGGTCACACCCAGCGATGCGATGCTCAAGGGTTACTCCTGGCTCTGCAATAAAAGTTGCAGTGGCCGAGAGATAGTTCAGTGGGTAATCCACTTCTTTGCATGTGGCTGACCAGGGTTTGATCACTGGCAACCCATATGGTCCCCTGAACCTACCAGGAGTGATCCCTAAGTACAGAGATAGGAATAGGCCTGAGTACCACTGAGTGTTGGTAAAAAAAAAAAAAAAAAAAAAATATATATATATATATATATATATATATATAAACAAACTACAGGGGCTGGAGTGATAGCACGGCAGGTAGGGCATTTTGCCTTGCAGGAAGCCAACATGAAGCCAGTCCAGATTCAATTCCCAGTATCCCTTATAGTCTCCAAAGCACTGCTAAGAGTAATTCCTGAGTACAGAACCAGGAGTAAGTCCTGAGCATTGCCAGGTGTGACCCAAACCCTGACATCCAAAAATATATATACTGCACATGCAATTTAAACTATAAAGCATCGCCCAAATAATTTAATATTTAAATTATTATTATCATTTATTATTAGCAATTACTAATTGCTTATTTTATTGGGGGGGCGCACACCCAGTGGTGCTGGGGTCCACTCTTGGCTTTCTGCCTTGGGGTAACTCCCAACATGCTTGAGCACCATGTGATTAAACCTACTCTGTAAGGCAAATGCCTCAACCCTTGTATTCTTTCAGGCAATAATTTTAATAATCTCTGTGAGTTCTCAAAATAATGTGTGGGTTCTGGCAACAACGCATGCTTTTGGTGGCCAAGAGCCGCCTCCCGTCCTCCCCAGGGCTCCCCAGCAGAGACAGAGAGATGGGGGACCACAGCCTGATGGTGAAAGTGGCCCATTTAATGCTAGGACATCTGAGGTCAGAGGTATAGGACTGAGTGCCCGTGTGATTTACAGAGTTTTGTAAAACAATCTGGCAGAGGGAATCTCTGGAGGAAATAAACTTAAGGAGACACTCTGTCTCCCAGGGATATCTATATTGCTTTTCTCTTTCCCTCTAGTCATATATACATATATATATATATATATATCAAACAATCAAATAATTTTACTGCTTACCAATACTTGCAGCAGTTTGCATAAACATAGTAAGAGATAAAAATCCCAAAACTTAGTTCTCTGGGCTCTGAGAGCGAGCAAGACTTTTACCATAAATCCCAGACTAAGTTCTGAGGTAAGTACAGTTTTTCCTTCCCCATGGGGGTCCTGTCTCCTAAGTCATTACAGCTTGCATCAAGACCATCCATTTATGCTTTCTGGACTGTCCCCATTTTGATGCCTGGGTAACTTCGCCACTTGCCCCTGGTCCATCCCAATCCCACGGCAGGACCTCCCATCTTGAGTATTAGAAACTACAGCAACTGAAGCCAGAGTCAAGTAATTATGAAAGATGCCCAGGAATAGATATATTTCAGAGTCAATCAACTCCCAAATACCAGGAGCATAGTGTTTTCTGTGTTTAAGCAAAGAACATTGCTCTATAGTAAAATATGAAAAGGCTATGGGAGGAATAGAAAAGCAAGTAATTCACTACAAATACAAAATCCAGAATAACCAGAAGTTTTGGCTTATAAGTAGCCAAGATTGACTTGGGGAACTGTGAAAGTGAGGAGTAAAACGCATAGAAAAGGTTAAAGATAAATTCAGGGGATTAAGGATACTTGTAAGAGCACTCTAAGCTTCACTGGGAGGAGGAAAAGGGGCAATTCACTGATGAAATCTAAAACACTTGGCAAATCTCTTTATCAGTAATTTACTGATAAGTCGTTGAACCACGACTGAAATTGGTCTGTGGAACATTGCCAGCATCTCCCATCCATCACTCCCTGGTTGAAATGCCTTATATTCTTCAGTAACTATGATCTTAGCTGGTTAATAATTACTCACTTTGGGGCTGGAGTAATAGCACAGCAGGTAGGGTGTTTGCCTTGCATGCATCCAACCCGGGTTCGATTTGCAGCATCCCATATGGTCCCCCCAGGAATGATTCTTGAGTGCAGAGCCAGGAGTAACCCCTGAGCATCGCCGGGTGTGACCCAAAAAGCAATAAATAAATAAATAAATAAATAAAATAAAATAATTACTTGGTTTTCTTTATACCATCTCTGTGTTTACCTACAAAAATAACTTAGTTTTATCCACTTTTGAATTTGATATAAAAACATTCTGTATGTTATTACTAAATGTATTTTGTTTCATTAGATGAGTAATTTATCTGCTCAATTACACATGACTGGGTTTTCGTGGATTTCCATTTTTTGAATAAAATTTTGTGCAGTTGAGTGAAATAAATTTTATTTTCTAGGAATTTGTCAGTTTCCTCTAAATCATTGTTTCCTAAAGTGGGTGATACTATGTCTTGGGGTGCTTTCTATTTATTCTCTTAGACATGGTTTTGTTATATTGTCTGGGCCACACCTAGTAAAGCTCAGGGGTTACTCCTGGCTCTGTGCTCAGGAATCACTCCTATAAGTGCTCGGGGACCATATGGGATGCTGGGGATCAAAGCTAGTTCAGCCATGTACAAGGCAAATGCCCTGATCACTGTGCTATCTCTCCAGCCCCGATTCTGTTATTCTTGTATAGATGGATTTCAGGGGCTGGAACTTGATCCCTGACATCTCATATAGTCCCCTGAGCACCTCCAGGAGTGATTCCTGAGTGCAGAGCCAGGAGTAACCCCTGCGTATCGCCGGGTGTGGTTCAAAAAAAAATTTTTTTTGCTTTAAAGGTTGACTTCAGGAGATTATTCAATAATAATTTCTTCTGAAAAGTGGGCAGTGAACCAAATAAATTTTGGAGCCTCTGCTCTTTCAAATTTGTTGGCATTTGACAATGTCTGCATTGTCTTTACCATAAATGTCTTTAAATGTCTTTACATTGGCATTATCCTGTCTCATCAATGGCTTCTTTTATTTACTTTTAATTATTTTTTTGGTTTTTGTGTCAGACCCAGCAATGTTCAGGGATTATACTCCTGGTGGTGTATGGGATGCCAGGGATTTAACATGGGTTTGGTCTTGTCCAAGGCAAATGTCCTACTATCCACCGTACTATCACTCCAGCCCCTTCTTTTTTTTTTTTTTTGTCCTATTTTCATCCTTTCATGTCAGTATTAATGTATATATCCCAAGTTTTCACTCATTTCATTTGGCTCACATATCTTTTATTTGTAGCTGTTGACTTGTTGACTTCTAGCATAAATTATCTTGTGGCCAGAGATTACACACAATACGATATCAGACATTACACAGTGCAATGTCAATATGATATCAAATACTGACACTATGATGTCAGTGTATCAGACACAGTCCAATGTCAGTGCAATATCAGACTTCACACACAATCTGATGCCAGTACAGTATCAGATATTACATACAATTTGATGTCAGTGCCATGTATCAGATACCACATACAATACATTATCGTTAGTTTGAAGCATATTGGGGCTTGCTATCTCTCCAGCCCCGATTCTGTTACTCTTGTATAGAAGATGGATTTTAGCAAAACTATATTCAGTTTTGCTAAATTGTATATTTGAGGAGACCCCATGCTATCCAGTTATTGACCTAATATTGTTTAATTTGGGGTGGCCTCTCAGTGAACAGTGCTCAGGGAGTCCTGGGGCTGCTTATGGCCACCTGTAAGTGCTCAGGGCTTACTCCTGGCTCTGTGCTCAGGGATCACACTTGGCAAGACTCAGGGATTGAACCCATGTGTGTGACAGACACCCTTCCTGCTGTTCTGGCTCTGATTGATCCCTCTGACCTAGGTTTTTATTTATTTTGATGTAAAATAGTTTTATTTAGGATGGGGAGGTGGGGAGGAGAGAGAGACTCTTTGACTGTTCCCGTATTTGGACCTGTTTCTATTGTCTGCCTGTTTTGAATTTTGTTTCCCCTCTGCCCAGTTATTTGACTTGGCAGTGTTTCAAGTGCACTGGACAGACTTGACTAAGTTAGCAAATGCCCTCTACTTCCCTCTTTACATCTGTGAGTTCTGGTTTTCACTTAGATATTGCTTGTCTGGCAATTCCTTATTGTCTTGTGAGCTCTTTAATGTTTAGTTTTTTTAGCACTATAGCTTCTCCAGTATTTTAATTAATTTTTAGCAAATGTGTTGGTTTTTGTTTTATTCCTAGAAACAAGTCCTGGTTTAATTTAGCTGATTAAATTTGTTTAATAGTATTGATTTCCAGTTGTGCTGGACCTGGTGGCTCAGCATTGATGCTGAGGGGGTGGGGGTGGGGGGCCCCCAGGGCCACCACTGGCAGTGCTGAGAGTGTCATGTGGTGTCAAGACTTTGTCGAACTCAGTGCCTCACACATGCTGGACACATGTTTTACCACTTGAGCTCTCTCACTGGTCCTGGTTTTATTTGTCTTTTTGTTTTATTTTGTTTTTGTGCCACACCTGGCAATGTTCAGGGTCATTCCTGGCTCTGTACTCACTCCTGGTGGTCCTGAGGACCCCAGGGGATGCCGGGACTGAACCCTGGCCAATTGCATGCAATTCAAGTGCCCTACCTGCTGTACTATCTCTTCAGCCCCTGGTTTCCCTTTTTGTTTGAGTTTCAGGCAGATGTTATTCCAACACTAATCCCTTCACCAGTGCCCACTACCCTCTACCGCCCTGTGGCAGGCACTTTCCCCCTCCCCCATTGTCCTAGAGTTCCCTTCCCTAACTTTCCTCTCACACCAAGGTTTCTACTGAAGACCAGTTCTCCTGCAATTCGTTTCTATTGCCAGTGGGCATTTGATATTTTCCTATGAAGTTCCTTTGTTTCCCAATTGTGAGCGAGATCATTCTGATCTCTAGCTGATTTAACTCAACATATTCTCCAGATACATCCATGTTGCAGCAAATTGCATGTTTATCTTTTCTTAAAGCTTCATAGTATTCCATTGTGTATATGTACCATAGTTTTGTTTTGTTTTGTTCTGTTTTGTCTGTTTATCTGTTCATAGGCATTTGGGTTGTTTCCTTATTTTGGCTGTTGTATATAGTTCAGCCCTTGTTTTATTTATTTATTTATTTAAATAACACTGAATCACTGTGAATTACAAAGTTACAAAGATATTTATGATTGAGTTTCAGGCTTACATTGTTCCAACACCCATTCCTTTATCAGTGACCACTGCCCTCCTCCAATGCCCCCAGTTTCCCTTCTGTACCCCAGCCTGCCTCTGTAGCAGGCACTTCCCCTCCCCCATTGTCCTAGTGTTCCCTTCCCTAACAGCCCCCTCACCCCTGCTTTACTGAAGACCAGTCTCCTGTTCTTTCTTTTTTTTTGCTTTTTGGGTCACACCCGCCTCACGATGCACAGGGGTTACTCCTGGCTCTGTACTCAGGAGTCACTCCTGACAGTGCTCAGGGGACCATATGGGATGCTGGGAATCGAACCCGGGTTGGTCGTGTGCAAGGCAAACGCCCTACCCGCTGTGCTATCTCTCCAGCCCCTCCTGTTCTTCATTTTTGTTGCCATTGTCAGCCCTTATTTTAACAGTCGCAGCATCCTGTGCCTCTCTACCTTCCCACACCCAAAATCCAGACTGCTCATTCCTTGAGGACAGGGCCGGAGTCTATTTCACCTTAGTATCTATCTGAGGGAGTATGTTCTGACTGTTGTGCAGGCAACTGAGGAGACAGGTGAATGCGAGAGAGGGGATCCGCAGACGACTTGGTAATGGCCCTCCTGTTGCTTGTCCCATGGTCTTCTCTTTAGAGCAAAACTCCCCAGTGCTGGCCAGTAAAATCTCCCTGCCCCCAGATGCCTAGGGCCTCGTAGAGCTTTTGCCCTGACTCGTTTCTTTCTATCACATCTCTGGAGACAGAAGGAACTTCAGGAGCAGGGGGAGATCAGAGTCATCCAGCTTGGCTTTGACCTGGACGCGCATGGGATTCTCTTCACCGAGGACTACAGGACCAGAGTGCGTATGACATGGGGAAAGAAGGTGGGTTGGGGAGTGAGGGGGATGAAAAGAATAACGCAAAGACACCCCCTCCCCCACTCCCCACATCTCCCAGAGAGGGACCCGGGCTCTGGTAAGCAGTTGGAGGGAAAGAAAAGGTGACTAGAGGGGCTGGAGCAATAGCACAGCAGGTAGGGTGTTTGCTTTGCACATGGCTGACCCAGGTTCTATTCCCAGCATCCCATATGGTCCCCCGAGCACTGCCAGGAGTAATTCCTGAGTGCATGAACCAGGAGTAACCCCTGGTGGCTAGACCTGCAAAAACGGGAGAGAAAATGAAATGACCAGTCAAAGAAATGACCTGGGACTGGCGGTCGTTGGAGCCAGGGTTGGCTCCCACCTCTGCTCTCTGTTTCTAGGTCCTCAAGGCCTGCGATGGCCGCACGTATGCTGGGGCAGTGCAGAAGTTTCTGGATTCGGTGCTTCCAGCTTGTGGGGACCTTAGCTTCCAGCAGGACCAAATGATACAGACCTTTGGCTTCAGGGACCCAGAGATTACGTGAGATTTGGGACCCAACACCAGGCATCTGGCATCTCCTGACTCCCTCCAGTGCCAGGCAGCCTTGGCCTTTGCCTCCTGATGAACCTGCCAAAGGGCTGATGCTTTTCTCTGTGTCAAATGACCCAACTCCGTGTTCCTGCCCCCAGAGAGGAAAGCCTGGGGTCTTGGGGAGAGCCCAGGATTAGCATTCAGAGGATCTGGGTGGCTCTTTGAATGCATATCGAGGCCTGGTGCCTGTGAAGACCTGTGATACATCAGCTTAGAGCCAGTCAAAACAACCACGTGAATGAGCTTGGCTTGTGGGGGGGGGGGGGGGGACTGCATCTGTCTTGGGCGTCCTACTCTGTGATTCCTGAAATATGTGAAAGCACTTTATAAACTTCTTTCCAGCGCGATGTGGGAGGCGCCTTGGCAAACTGTGTATTGGCAATGCTAAGAGCACTGAAGGAAAAATCTCTGTCTCCCCTGGGGTGGGACTGACCATGTGTGTGTCAGGGCCGGTGTCCAAGGCAGACTTCCGAGAAGGGAGGCTGTCTTGGCGAAGCAAAAGTGACAGGAAAAAGAGGAGTAGGGAGAAGGCGGGGCAGCTGGGAGTGGGTGCAGAGCCCCACGCCAGCACACTTCTGTTGTTTGGGCCTTTGTGAGACTGCTGTGTTTCTGGAACATTCCGGGGCAGGGAGGAAGGAGGGTTTTCGCAGCCAAGGCCCATCTCTGGCTTCCCACCTAGGCAGCTGGTGAACGCTGGCGTCCTCACCGTCCGCGATGCCGGAAGCTGGTGGTTAGCTGTGCCTGGAGCCGGGAAGTTCATTAAGTATTTTGTCAAAGGTATTCCGCTGCCCAGCCCCTTCGAAGCCCCCTTGAGTGGCTCCTTGCACCTCCAGGCCTCACTTTCCCCCATGTGGCCACTCCCTGCAGGGCGCCAGGCGGTCCTGGGCATGGTCCGGAAGGCCAAGTACCGGGAGCTGCTCCTCTCAGAGCTCCTGGGCCGGCGGGCGCCCGCCGCGGTGCGCCTTGGTCTCGCCTACCACGTGCACGACCTCATCGGCGCCCAGATGGTGGACTGGTGAGTCTCACCCTGGCCTCCAGCAGATGGCCGAGCCATGCCCTATGGTGGAGCCGAGCTTCTGTCTCGGTCATCCCCGGAAGCCCGGCGTATGCCTGCCCGGGTGTCTGGCTCCAGCCTTGTCTTTCTTCCACAGTGTCTCCACCACTTCCGGAACCCTCCTCCGCCTGCCAGAGACATGACGACCACACTTGTCATTGCCTGCCAGCCCGAAGGGGGCCGAGAAGCACCCAGGAGGGCCGCCCTATGGTGGCCGAGACCCGTCACCTTGGGAAGGCTCGGGAGCCGGGAGCGTTGGGCTTGTCTGGGTGCTGTTTGCCTGGGCTCCCACCCAGTGCTGGGGTGTGGGCAGTGCTCTTCCACCTTCTGGGGAAGTGAGCCAGAGACCAGGCCTAGGCCCGGGCCGCTGCCTTCGAGGCAACAAGATGCTGCAGCTACTGTCTTGGGGTAGGACGCGGGGCTTCAGGTGGGCTGGTGCCGGAGGGGCAGGAAGACCGGGTTTTCTTCCCCACATGTTGGGTGGAAACTGCCAAATAAAGTACTTCTGCCTGTGGTATTGACTTTCTGGCTGTCTTTGTTTAATGTGTCTGAGTGTCATTGGTGGGATAGAGGTGAAACCAAATCTGGGCCCTGGCTTGGCCTCATTGTTCAGAGGCCGCTGTGGTCCGTTCTCCCCACGGGAGGTGACGGTGTTCCCGGTCAGAACCACAGACTTGTTGTGAGGGTCCCTGCAGAGCCAAAGCCTGCCTAGTTTTTGTGGAGGTTTTTGTAGACCCCAAAGTCTACAAAACAAAAAATAAAATGTCTGCCTGCATGCACCAATGTGGGCCCTGGGTTTGGAAGTGGGGAATCTGCCCTGGGACCTTGATCTTCCCAGATTTCCTCAGAGACCCGGTGTCCAGGGTGCTTCCCCTCCCCAAAACTGGGCCAGGGGCCAGTTGCATTTCTTGCCTGTCATGTGATTTCCCGGCTAGTGGGGTTAGGGGTGGAGTTAACTGCCCTGAGCCCTGGACTGACCAGAACGAGGCAGACGGACTGGCAGACGGGCGGGCAGAGACCAATGTGTGCAGGATGTGGCGCCTCTGGGTGCTGACCTGGGCCTTCAGCTGCCTCCCCTTGTCTCTGCAGGAGCCCAGGTCCTGGGGGCTGGGAGAGGGGCTGGGCCCGTGCGAGTGGGGGTGGGCTTCGGGATGAATGCAGTGGATTCTGCTGACCCTTACCTGCTGTCCCCAGGTTGGTCCTGTTGGCTCCTTCCGTGGCTCATGTCGGGGTCCCTCTATCTGTGGGGGTACTGCTCCAGGATGCTCCCTCCGGGCAGGAAGTGTCAGGATCCGTGTATCTGAGGAACCCGTCCAGCTATGTCCACTGCTCCCCAGGAGTGAACTTCGCCCTCAACTCAGAAAACAACTTCGTGCTCCTCAGCCTCCAGGTTACTGGCGCCATATCCCTGTTGCTCCTTGTCCCCTTGCTCCCCACTCTTTCCCCCTCTCTGAGGGTCCTACCCGCTGGTGCTCTCAGGGGCCCGTGAAGTGCCTCCCGCCTACAGAGCCTGCACTCTATCCTTGGAGCCAGCCCCTGCTACCCCCATCTTTGTCTTCCTTTCTGGGTTTTTTTTTTTTTTTTTTTTTTTTTTGGTTTTGGCTTTTTGAGTAACACCCGGTGATACTCAGCGGTTACGCCTGGCTCTGCATTCAGGAATTATTCCTGGTGGTGCTCAGGGATCATATGGGATGCTGGAGATCGAACCCAGGTTGGCCACGTGCAAGGCAAACGCCCTCCCTACTGTGCTATCGCTCCGGGCCCCCACCCCCGTCTTTATCTTCATATGAACCTTCTCTCTTCTCACCTTCCCTATTTTGTTGTTGTTTTGTCTTAGTCTTTCATTTCCCTCTGCTGTCTTTGACCCCCTTTGTCCTCTCCCCCTCTCCCCGACAGTTTCCCCTGGACATGAAATGTGATCTTGACAAGCTCCGAGGAGTCCCCCATGTCCAGCTGCTGGCCCAGTCGCCATGGCTGAGGAACCATGGGTTCAAAGGAGTCGACACTCAGGGCATCAACCTGCTTTTCTCCTATCGTCGGGGACATCTCTTCCTGCAGACTGACCAGCCTGTCTATAACCCTGGCCAGCGGGGTGCGTCTGGGCCTCAGGGCCTTTACCTCTCCAGTTGTTCAGGCTGTTTGGTGTCCCTATGTGAGGTGTCCCTTTCTGCTGAGCCAGCCTTTGTTCTCACTTCCGGTGGCGGTGGGGGTGGGGGTGCTGGGCTCGTGCTGACCTTCTTGCCCGCTGTTCCCAGTCCGGTACCGGGTGTTTGCTCTGGATCAGAAGATGCGCCCCTCCAAGGACAGTCTTATAGTCACTGTGGAGGTGAGTCCCAGCCCCACCCCTCGCCCCCTTGACCAGGTCCCCACTCGACTTGCCCATAGCACTGCTCTGTTCCCCTTGCAGAACAAGCATGGCCTCCGTGTGCAGACACAGGAGAGGTACATCCCCACGGCCATCTATCAGGATGAATTTGTGATCCCAGACATCTCAGAGTGAGTCGTGCCACCTCTGCCTACCCCCACCTAAGCCTGTCTGGCACACACAGAGAAATCCTGAGCTCTCTGACTACTGGTTAACACCTGTCCCCCCAACACACAGAGAGACACACACACAAACACACAGACACACATGCACATACATAGAGACACACACAGACACGACACATGTGCACACATACATACATATACAGACACACATTGTCTCACACAGGCACATACAGAGACACACATAGACACACAGACACATGCACACATATACACACATGTACACAGAAACAGACACACACGCACACACAGACACACACACTGACTCACACAGGCACATACAGACACACAGACATACACGCGCATATACAGACATACACACACATGTGCACACACACAGACACACATGCACACAGACACACAGACATACCCACAGAAACACAGACATACACAGACATACACGTGCACACATGCACATACACACAGACCCACATATAGTCCTCCTGGCAGGGAGCTGGGCTGCTGGCTCTCTGGCCATGTCTCATGGGAACACTTGTTGGTTCTCAGGCCAGGGACTTGGAAGATCTCAGCCCAATTCCAAGGTGACAAGGAGTCCAACTACAGCACCCAGTTCGAGGTGAAGAAATATGGTAAGAACTGGAGATGCGAGGGGCAGGCCCTGGCTGGGAGCTGGGAGGGTGACAGGTGACACAAGCCCTAGACTGAGGGGAGCTCAGTGGTCTGACCTGCCTGTCCTGCCACCCCGTCAGTCCTCCCCAACTTTGAGGTGAAGATTGTTCCCGGGAAGCCCTATATCCTGACCACGCCTGACTTCCTCGATGACATCCAGTTAGAAGTCCAGGCCAGGTAATTCCCCTCACCCCAGAGTTCCCGGTGCCTTTGGAACTGGCTGTGTCCCCTTCCCTCCCCTCAGCCTCCCCCTCTTCCTGGCCTCTCCCTGGCACAGGTACCTCTACGGGAAGCCAGTGAAGGGAGTGGCGTATGTGCGCTTCGGGCTTCTGGGAGAGGATGATGAGAAGACTTTCCTGAGGGGCCTGGAGAGTCAGTCCAAGGTGGGACACAGTGAGGGACTGAGAGGGGTGAGGAAGGCGGTGCACGACCCCTCCTCAGGGGTCGGAGCAATTGTCCAGCGGGGAGGTGCTTGCTTTGGTTGCGGCCAACCTGGGTTCTGTCCCCAGCATCCCGTATGGTGCCCCGAGCCTGCCAGGAGCCATCCCTGAGTGCAGAGCCAGGAGTAAGCCCTGAGCACCGCTGGCTGGGACACAGAATCAAAACCGAAAAAGTGACTCACCCCTCCTCGCTGTCTTCTCTCCCCAGCTGGTTGATGGCCAGTGTCGCGTTGCCCTCTCCAAGGCTGAGCTTCAGGACGCCCTGGGGAAGGTCGGCCTCACCGTCAGGGACCTCCCGGGCTTGCGCCTGTATGTGGCAGCAGCCATCATTGAGTCTCCAGGTGGGTGGCTTCCCCCGGCCTCACCCAGACGGGGTCTCTGAGCTGACCCCGCGTCCCCGTGTTTATCAGACCCCAAGGAAAGCCATGGCTCACTGCCTGTGGCTCTGGTTTGGGTGGGTGGGTGGGGGGAGGTTTTGGGAAGGGGCCTCACTCCCCTGGCTCATTTAATTTTATTTAGTTCTATATTTGTTTGATTTGGTTTGGGTCTGGGGGCTACACTTCTCAGGTGTTGGGGTTCCTCCCGTCGGTTCTAGGAATTGAACCTCCTGGGCTCCAGTGCAGTTCATCTGGGTTTTTGAGCCATATTTCCGGCCTCCCATTTTATTTAATTTTTTTTGTCCAACCTTCATCCATCTGTCCTTCTCTACAGCAGACACATGTGCCGTGCCCTGGCAGCCTGGGTACGGGGTGGCCCCCAGAGCTGAGCCAGTGCCCCTGAGCTGGGCGCCTCTTACTGTCCACCCCCCTCCTCCCCTCCCTCCATCTGTTGCAGGAGGGGAGTTGGAGGAGGCAGAGCTCACGTCCTGGCGTTTCGTGTCATCTCCCTACGTGCTGGATCTTAGCAACACCCAGCGACACCTGGTGCCGGGGACCCCCTTTCTGCTGCAGGTTTCTTCTGGAAGGCGAGGAGGTGAGGGGGCGGGCGGGCTGTCACGAGGGCACCAGGCCTGACCGCAGGCTTCTCCTTTTCGACTAGGCTCTGGTTCGGGACCTGTCGGGCATCCCAGCCTCCGGTATCCCCGTCCAAGTTTCTGCCAAGTTTTTGTCTTCTCCCGGTTCCGTTTCCGGAACTCGGGACTTAGAACAAAACACAGATCTGAACGGCCACATCATCATTCCCGTCGTTCTCCCCCAGAGCACCTCAGAAATGCAGCTTTCGGTGGGACGCCCCCTCAGGGCGAGAAGCGGGGGAGAGGGTGGGCGTGGGGGGGCCAAGCTCTCACCTTCTCCCCTCCCACCCGCCCTGCAGGTGTCTGCGGGTTCCCGCTATCCCACGTCAGCCAGACTCTCCGTGAAAGCGCCGTCCGCTGGAAGCCCTGGGTTCCTGTCCATCGAGCGCCCGGACCCTCGGCTCCCTCGTGTTGGGGACGTGCTCAATCTGAACCTGCAGGCCGTGGGCCTCAAAGGGGGAAGCTTCTCGCATTACTACTACATGGTGGGCGTGGGGGCAGTGGGGACAGGGTGCGGGCGGGGCGGGGTCCCCTCTTTCGGGGCCGGGGCTGCGCAGGGTCCAGGAACCACTCTCGGCCCAGGTCGTCTCCCGCGGCCGGATCTTGTCAATGAAGCGAGAGCGCCGCCAGGCCCTGACGTCTGTCTCCGTGACCGTGGAACAAGACATGGCCCCCTCCTTCTATTTCGTGGCCTTCTACTATCACCAGGGCCTGCCCGTGGCCAACTCCCTGCGAGTAAACGTCCAGGCCGGGGCCTGCGAGGGCCAGGTAGTGACCCGAGGTGCCCACATGTGGCTGACAGAGAGAGAGAGAGAGAGAGAGAGAGAGAGAGAAGGGGGCGAGGGATGGAGAGGCACTCCCCGCTCTGACTGTGCGTCCTGCCTC